GTGGCCGGTGCAGTATGAGCATTTAAGAGATCTTTACCACACATGAGGGCTTCCCTGTATAGCTAAGCATCTGTGCACGTGTGCTGTTGAAGAAGACGCTACACATGCTGGGTCATAAAAATGCATGAGACCGAGAGAACAGACACGGAGACATGAGAGCTCCCAAGCGATATAATGGCTCTCCTTTGGGTTTAAATCAGCACGAAGAACGTGTTACCTGGTGCAGTGTAATGCAGAAGAGGAAAGAGTACCTATTTTATATCTCAGACTCTAGAGCCTCAGAGCCCACTCACGCCTCTGCTGTAGGTGGTGCTGTGACACACACCAACAAAATGAGGCTGAATACTATAGTTCTAACTTATAGCTTAAAAAAAGAAAAGAAGTGTCTAACTAGCAGGGCGACAGGCAATCAGCATCCAACCTAAAACCTCCGTGCCTAACAAATTTATCTGAATAAGGGGCCATTAAACTACAAAGCCTTTTGCTGAGAAATGAGTACCCAACTTTAGGAGGTTTGGCTCCGCCGAAAACACAACAGAAAGCTCCTGTCTCTCCCTGACACACATTCAACAAACCCCTCTAACACACTGTGCATGCATCACCCAGGCTTACAGCAGCCCTCTGTGCCTCTCAGAAGTAATAACAGCCTGATAACAAACAACTTTAAAGGTGCAATTTCAGCTTGATGGACTTTAACTAAAACTAATTCTGGTGATAGACAACAAACAAAACTCATCTGCAGCATTTACACTGTCCAAAATCTTTCTTTGTAAGAGAGATTCATTAGTGCATCAACTAAAAGCGTACAGCTGTATTCTCGGTCAGGAAAAAGGGCAAATAATATATACAAACATAAATTATTTCTCTGGCTTCAAATAAGTATCATAACATCAAGAAAGCACTACCATAATTGTTCTAATAGCCAGATGCTAAGTGGTTCTCCAGCCACATTCTTTATGCTGACTTAAGTGTATGCTGAACAACCAGAACACAGTGTTCGCTATTCAAATGTTTATGTGACAGAGCAGCAGGACCATAAACAAAACTGTATTGCAGGTGGTGTGGGGGTGTAGATTCATCTTGATACAACAGTGACATCTTGTGGGCACTTACAAAAATGCTACTCCAACAAAATCCATTTAACACACCAACCACACAATCAAGTATTGCTTCTCTTAAAAATAAAGCATAAAATCCACCTTATTCAGATGAGTATTTAGTATGACCTGCAGCAATGTTTTTAAACACAACCTGATAGGATTATTCGCCACTAAATAATACGAAATACTAAATATCTTTACAAAGGAAGGATGGTTACTCCTGTTTCCTTTTACCAAAGAGTCCAAGTACTGAAATTTAGCACTCAGTTCATTATGGAAGCTTGCTTCCACCACTGGGAAAAACAAAACAAAACAAAACTTCTGCTTGTTTTCTTTTTTCTTTCTCAGCAGGTGACCCAGGTGATTGATATATGCATTTTTTTTCTTCTTTTTTTTCTTTTTCTGCCCATTCTGTTGGTTTTTGTCTTTTGCCCTTCTCCCCCGTCCCTCTTCTCAGCTGTTTCTCTTTCCCTCTTTCTTTCTCCCCTTCTTTCCCCCAGTCAAGTCTGTCCCTATTCAGTAAGTGAAAATAAAATAAACAATAAAAGGTGAATCAAATGGACCATTACGGCAAGGCTGGGATGGTCAATTTGGTAAAGTAAATCCGTTGGGCATCTTTCTTTGCCTTTAGACAACAATTCTGATGGCAAAAGAGCCAAACGGGACAGGCAAAAAAAAAAAAAAAAAAAAAAAAAAGAGAAAAACAAAACATTTTTTTTCATCCACAAGTCATAATTTCAGGCTAGCATCTCAAAACTTTGACTGCAGAAGAACACTGCCGCTAGCTAACTGCTCGGCAACAAATGGTAAATGGCCTGTATTTATATAGCGCTTTACTAGTCCCTAAGGACCCCAAAGCGCTTTACATATCCAGTCATCCACCCATTCACACACACATTCACACACTGGTGATGGCAAGCTACATTGTAGCCACAGCCGCCCTGGGGCGCACTCGCACTGACAGAGGCGAGGCTCTGTCAGCGCCACCGGGCCCTCTGACCACCACCAGTAGGGGGTGAAGTGTCTTGCCCAAGGACACAACGACCGAGACTGTCCAAGCCGGGGCTCGAACCGGCAACCTTCCGATTACAAGGCGAACTCCCAACTCTTGAGCCACGATCGCCCAACAACAACAACACCACACAGGGCGCCCTCTGACCCCGAAGGACACACCGTCGCAGCGAGAGGGCGTCACCCGTCACTATGGCAACATAAACAAAACATAACTGTACAAACAGAACCCCGAACAGCCCTGACCCGCTACATAGCCCCCACCTAAGGGGTCAGTCGTCCCCGACGACCCCATTACCCCACACAAAGTCCTGCAAATGTCCAGGTGCCTTCTTTTGGCGCACCGGCCGGTCACGACCGGCGGGGGAAAAGTCACTCGGGTCAGAACATGGGGTGCCACCATCATCCCACTTCTGACACCAATGTGGCGAGCTCAGACAAGGAGGAGACGGAGGTATCGTTTGGTATTGCTTCCCAGAACACTGCCGCTAGCTAACTGCTCAGCGCGGCAACAGCACAGCAACAACAACAACAACACACAGGGCGCCCTCTGACCCCGGAAGGACACACCGTCGCAGCGAGAGGGCGTCACCCGTCACTATGGCAACATAAACAAAACATAACTGTACAAACAGAACCCCGAACAGCCCTGACCCGCTACAATATATATCCTGCTGCTTTTACACACGCACTCACATAACGCTCAGCGATTCTCTGCGCGATCAACCTCTCACATGTTTAAGCTTGCTGCGGGAGATTTCACTTGTCATGTTTGCATAGTAAGCTAACGATTAATAAGACGATGTCAGAGGAATTGGTGCACAAATTATCATCACTCACCAATCAGTGCTGTCGCTCTCTATACACAGTTCGCGCGATTGCAAAGTGAAAGCAAAAAACAAGCGCAAATTCAAACGCGATTTCAATATGTCACATATTGACAGTGGCTCACCGATGCCAATGACATAATTACCCAGCTACATTTCCGAAAGAATGCAAAAGCATTGACATATATTTTTCCTTCCTACGATAGGCCGACGGGCAGGGCAGAGATAGATTTTGGTAGCCCGACTGGAAAAATCGCTAGCCCCGGGACGTCGGGCTAGCGATTTTGCGAGCCCTGTATCTGATTGAGGAATCACTCATCTTTGGAAAAGAGAGTTTATTACAGAGAAATGGCTCTTTCCAAAATAAAAGCTATACTATACGCTTCTTCTGGGCTATATTCTCAGCAGCATATTAAACATATCAGGTCCCCATAAGGAGAATCATGTGCTAACGGCTGTCTAAATGACTCGGGTAAAGTTTGTAGCATGCGTGCTTGTTGTTTTTGTCTGCTTCCACTTGTCTTTGCACTAGGATGATGTCGGAGTAAATGTGCAGTCATATTTGTTGTGTTCCCACTAGTGCTGTCAGCGTTAATCTCGTTGAAATGACATTAACGCCACAACACGGCAAATCTCCTTTAACAGCTCGATCGCCCCGTGCATGGGGCTGGACGGCCAACACGTTAACGAGCTAACTGTGCTAACACACTAGCTCCCACCCATGTAATTGAGCATTGCGTGGCACATCCAACATACTGTTTTACTTTAGTCCATGACGTGCTTACCTTCAGGGTCATACGTCACATGAAAACCAAAATAATTCCAAACGCCAGATCTGAATGAGAGTAGGGGAGGTTCAATTTGGCACGTTGCAAGGAGAGCTTAACTTCTGTCTCGCTAGCTTGCCCTGCACTCAGTGGATCTGTGTTCGACTACTCCGCCTAGGCCACACTGTCGACCGCAGATCCATCGAGCGCATCGTCAGAAGGAAAGTTGATAAAATAAATTAAAAATTTATATTGTATTGTTCGATACATATGCGTACCGAACCAAAAAAAAAAAAGAAAAAAAAATAATATATATACCAAACAGCCACGACATTAAAACCAACCCTCTCTTAAGTGAATGATAGTGATTTCCTGTAACAATGCAATACAGGCTGGCATTGGTGTTGAGGACAGCACAGGACACCCCAGAGGTATTGCGTCACCACACGACATAAGGCAGGTGGAAGAAAATCCTCATTTAGCATGTGTATTTAGATCGTTTTTGATTCTCACATTTTGGTGTAAATGTGAGGAACCACAGCACAATAATATGCAAATGTATGCAAATCAAATCAGATCATCTAGTCCATTAGAAGAAGGTTTGTGCTCGTTTATATTGTTTTCGAGGATTCTGTCAACATAACAAATGAGTCACAGTAACAGACACCAGCGTGATGATATAACGTTTTATAAACACTGGAGATTTTTTTTGTCTAAAATAAATGTCCCAGATGCCGCACGATTTGCCAGTTTTCTGATGTACTGGGTTTTATCATGGTTGTTGATGTTTAAAGAAAATTGGCCATTTTCAGTTAATACTGAGCTCCAAGTAAAGGACCCGATTTAAAAACTCTCTTGCTCTCATGCAGCCACATGTTAACTGCATTAATACTTTTCATGTCAGAGTACTCAGGCCGCTTCCATTTCTATGCAAACAGCTGCCTGGCTGGATTTAATTAATAACAGTGATTATAATGGCAGTAATGACAACCGTGAGGGTGATATGCGACAGTCCTGATGAGAAACGCTGGCAGGGATTTGTCCCTTTATGTGACAGCACACAGCGGAGAGGTGACAAGAAGCGGGGGCGAGAGATGAGGTCCGACATGTGACACAGATCTGCCATTCAGATCAGGATTTCCGACCTCTAATTCTCCAGGACGATCGCTCCGCTTCCCACAAAAAAATTTCATGTGGCATTTTTCTTTCTCTATGTACACCATATTGAGGTAATAACGAACAAATGGACACGTTAAAAGTAAAAAATAATACAAAAAATAGAGAAAACTACCTACCCAGTATCAATATAGAGTCCTCTTTCTTTACAAATCTTTCCAGAATGTGCTGGAATTTGGAGAAACCCCCCAACCAGTCATAGCACTGCTCCATCGTGTATCTTTCATCCCAGTAGGCGACGTCTTTGTACCTGGAGTTGTTTTCTGGCAGGTAGTCCATATTCTCTGGAGCATGACAAAAATATGTAGCATAACACTGTGTCAGACTATAACGAGACTTCTTTTGTGTGTCGCTAAATCTGTTTTTGCTACAGTGCAGTGATGCATTTCACTGTGCTTTTTCCATTTCATTGTGGTTTCAGCATTGTCATGGGTTTTTTCTGTCAATTTACAGACCAAATGATTGGCTGCGAAATTAATCAGCTAATAAAATACATAAAATAATACAAAGTGTTAAGACTGCCCAGGTTACTGTAAAATAAATTGATTTGTTTTTACTGTGACTCATCTTTATGAGAGAAAAAAAAAGCTACTGGAGGTTTTTTCTTTAATTATTTCATTACTTTTTGAGTTTGACATATTTTTTTTGACACATTATAGGCAAACAAGTAATTTACAACAGTTTAAATTCCCACAATCATTTGGCAAATACAGGAAATCGCTTTTTGGCACAACACTTGTATTCAAACTGTTGTGACTGATTTGTTGACCTGTAATCTGTCAAAATCTCATGAATCACATTTTTGAAAAATATTTTAACTCGGAAAAAACGGGACTGATTATAATTCAGAACACAAATCAGAGTCAAAACGACACCTGAAAAATAGTTGTTGTTTTTTTAAATTTTATATATTACACCTTCATAAATCCTGTTTACTACAGCCTATTTACTAATGTAAACAAGTTTATTAGACATTAAAAATAACATATACAAACACTTGCAGTCACTTTTTTGGCAGGGTCGTGCATAGACCTGGCAGACAGCAACACTGTAGTGAAACAACGCCAAATAAACACAACAAACAGACGCTACTTCAATGTTGTGACAAACTCTTAAACTTCCCTCGCCACCTATTCAGCGACTGTAGATAGAGCGCATGCGTGGATGCGGCGGACTACCTCTCGCAGCCAGTTCAGTTTGTTCATGTAGTTGACAACAAAAGATTGCACAAAATATGATAGTCATTTACCTACCTTCTTATTTTTTTTCCCCTCGTTTTGTCGTTAACTTCAGCAGCTTTGTAAAAAAAAATAAAATTAAATTAAAAAGGCCGTTTCCTGGGTGGGAATGAATCCACGTGTTAACAGAAACAACAGTCGTAGGACCGAGTGAGCTCACTTTCACTCTCACGTTTCTATCAAAATAAACCTTGGTACTACAGAAAGTAGAGTGAGCACCGTCTTAAACTTCCCTCTTTTGATAAAAATCGCTTGAACAGAAAAATGTTGTCTCTGAGTTTTTCTATTTCTTACGAGTCAACGCTTTAAAGGAGGCGGAGCGATACAATTCAACAGTGCGGTGTCTAGAGTCGTGTTGCTTTCACGTACTCTTTGTAAAATCTGTCAAATCGCCACGGTGCATTCAAGCGATCTGCGTTTGTTACAATAAATGTAGAAAAACTTTTTATACAGTCATCGGTTTGTTAAAACTGTTCTTCAAATTAAGAAAAAGAAGAATGCATAGACCTACTTGGTATTTGTTCTATAGTCTTGGTTTCTATAATTAAACCAACTACTAAAGGAAGAGAAAATGTGTGCGCACAGCATAAAATGAGTCCAAAAGTGATTTGGTTCCTTTCCCGCTTCAAACTTTAATTTGAATGATGATGAATGATGATGATTAAATGATGATTACTTATCAACCCTCATATGTTGAACTATAAAAAACAATTCTAGTGTTTCATGATGAGGTGGCTTTTAAAGAAAGAATGATCACATTAACAAAACTGCAATAATTTATAGAGAAGTTCCTCACAGGACACACAAAGCAAGGTCAGGGGTGGAAACCAAATTCATATTTTGTGCTACATTTCTTATTACATTATGTGCTTTCTGTTCTCAGTTAGCTCAGCTGAATACATTTGTACTGAAGAATAATGCCCAGTCACAGCTCTTTTGTTTATCAGCTCTGCCCGTGAACACTGTCTGTGTTGGTCAAACAGCTAACCGCACCCACCAAAAAGAAAACAAAGAGAAAAGATTGCATCTGCAAGAAAGTTTTAATCATTAAATTGCACTTGTATCAAAACAGTTTCCCTGGAAATGAATAATTTCAAACAGGAAGAATGCTGAACAATGTGACATTTGTCTTCTTTTTGTTGTTATTTATTCCACCCTGATTACCAAATCATGGTACACATCAAGGCATACGCCTTTAATGTAATTACCGAGAAAACAGAAATTAGGTTTTAGTTATTTTGGGGAAATTCTGATTAGTCTTCCTTGCTCCTCTCACCTACTACATCATTATGCAGATGTAATGTTGTACTTTCCCCTGCAGATGGTAGTATAATACTGCTGTCTTAAACGTTTTTGCTTCTTACTACCTGCTGAAAGAAACCCAATAACCCTGCTCATTCAATTTCAGTCTCTGTTTTGGTGATTTGCTTAAAATTACACTGTAAAGTCTGTGGCATCTATACCTGAACAAATTCATGGCCCGCATCCTCATAATCAAGAGCTTCTTTTGCTGTCTCAGACTCACTGGAGTGGTTCTTAAACTGTTGTGGGCAAACCTGAGGTCTCGTTTTTATCTGTGAACAGCTGAAAAAGGGAAATTCTTATGCTGTGAGTGCAGCACTTCCCATTCAGTTAATTTTATGCTTATTTGTATTTTATAATTACTAAACTCTAAACAACTGTAGTCCCGTAGATACTAGAACAGGGGGTCGGCAACCTTTCTGATGAGGAGTGCCATTTAAAATTTCCTCAGAAGTCAGTGTGCCATATGATTGCATTAGCAATAAATTTAATAACGCTCTGTATCAACGGTTACACACTACATAGAACCACTTTAAAGAATTATATTTGTTCGCAGATGTCGGCAGCTATCAGCGAATAGTTATCAGCTATTTTGAAACAAAAAAAAGACACTTTTTATCCATAACAAGAACTCCATAACAGCAAATGAACTGTACAACAGAAAATGCAAATGCTATTTATGGTCTCCTCACAACAATGATAAGAAAAATAAACTGGGCCAATATGGCATGTTTGTTAATACACTCTGGTCTCTGGTCTCCCACTCAGAGACACAGATCTCCAAGTGTCCAGCATTCAGACGGCTACCTGAGGACACTCATGTGAGAGAAAACCTGCTCACACAGATATGTAGAGCCAAATACTGTCAATAAGGCCTCTGCAATGTTCTGAAGACAGTTAAACTTGTCAGGTATTGATGTCCAGCAGGTGACAATGCAAGCTCCATGAACACGCACAGCTATGGATTCCAGCTGCTTCGATGTTATATGTATGATTTCTATACATTTTACGTCAGATAAAACCTTTGGTTGTAAGCTTCAGATAATTATTTAATAACAGCTAGACATTTTAAATGAGAATAAGAAAGTATTTCTTTGTGCCCACCTCTCCCTGTTAATGCCCTACCTGGGCCCCTGGCAACACTTTGCTAGACCCGCCCCTGCACAGTTACCAGCTGTCAGCTACTTAGAAAAGGATCCTGGTGTTATTTGTCTCTCAGAAACAGTTCATAACTTCCCTTCAACTCATTCATGTCACCTTAAAGGTAAACCTGTTTCTCCATCACCTGTTCAGCTCTGATGATTCAGTAAGGACATCTCCTGGTTTCATCTTCATGTTTCCCTCTCACCAGATAACCAAACCGATATCATGACAGCAGCTTTTACAGCTGTGGCTCCAGCAAACATCAGCTGATACTAGAAATTAATATTAAATACATTCTAACAACAGCTGATCAAGCTTAAACGTGCTGCTGTTGTTTAACGTGACATCCGCTGGTTTCCTCTTTCTGGCGCAAAGTGGGTGATAAACAAACAAGAGAGAAAAGCCGATCAGCTGATCATTGATCAGGTTCATGATTGAAGAAGAAACAGGAGAGAGAGGGGGAGAATGAGAGGAGAAGAGGCAGCTGTGCAGCTTAAAGACAGAATAAATCCAGCTTTGTGTCTTTTTCTATTCTAGCTGAAGTCCGGGACAAACTGTCCCTTTTCAACACCAAACGCCTAATATTTTCTCTGAATGCGGGACGATTCCGTCTTTTTACGGGATGGTTGGCAACTCTACTAACTAACCTTGTGAATTAAATAAAGTTCAACATCAGTAACATCACAGCACCCACCCAGCTGTATAGAAACTCCGTCATGCTAGCTAGTAGCAGTACGAGTTGTTGTAACTGACTGTAAAAAGTCAGCACAACGAAAATAAACTCCAGTTAAACACTTGACCGCAGTACCTAAACTTGGTTTATATCTGACCCAGATAGACTGCAGGTCATAACTTCTTACCTGAAGAGCAGTTCACCTGACACTCGGACCGGCGGCCGCCTCAGGGCTCTCCTCCTCCTGCCTCCCCTTTCTCTCATCCACCTGCTGTCCTCCACTACTTGCTAATTTTACTGAATCTGAGGAAGCACCGCCATAGCCACCACCAAACAACTGAGTTATTTTTACACACCGACCAACATCTGGCCAATCCACCACCTTTCATTGTTTATACCGTTACAAAGAAAAGAAAAAAAGTCACCGGGCCACCGAGCAAATGCCCAGGATGGCGAGTCCAGCTATGGTCGTGCCATCAGTTAACCCTTCGCGTGCCAACTGTGGCGCGCGTGCCTAGAGTTGCCGAGCCCTGAAGTATCGAAAAGGATTTTCACTGTTATTGCCACTTTGCCATTATGGACAAATATTCATAAATGAACAGAGTAAACCCTCACAGTCTCTGAACGTCTAATATAACTTCAAATGCAGTTATTTTATATTAATGCAATTCTTTCTTTCTTTTTTAAATAAAAGACAGTCATCATATTAAGGGTGTAGTGACATTTTTTTCTCATAGTGAAAAAGCCAAACTGATCATTTGAAACAATCCATGGGATTATTAACACCAGTCTTATATGTATTGTGGACACCATCAGCTTCAGGCAGCTCTGTAATAAGGCTAATGGTGCAACTTGCACTTGACTTTAGGAGGAAATTACATAAATTCTTGCTTTAGCGCTAAATGTTAATAGTGCTCCAGCCAAATGGTCAGAAACAGTCAACTGTGAGCCCACAAAAATATTACAAATTTGTGTGGGCTCACATTTTCTAAGTGCCACATACTAATGTACTAACCTGCAATCCAGGCTGACTGTGGAAAAGGCACATGTAGTATGCTGCCCACTAAGATGAAGGGTGCTGCATGAGTGGAACAGAACCCACTCTGGTTAAATGTACACCTGCTCCTGCCTACATCATTTCACCATAAAGCCATAGTGGTCCCATATGTATTATATTATATATTATAACATATATAATATATTATATTAAACATACTGAACAAGACTGTTAAATACTACAAATTTACCATATTCTAAAATGCAGAAACATTTATTTAAAATATAGTTTTGTAGCTTTAATTTACAAGAGATCCTGTGAATTTTTGTATGCTTTATGTTAAATAAAAAGTGTGTAAAACACTTAAACTTACAGAAAAGTATACTGTTATTAGTCAGGTTTTATTATGTAATTCTATCTAAAACATTTTGGAAATTTAATCCATATGTAATAAAATGATATATCAACCAAAAAAAGTGCTAATACTATTGCAAAACTAGTAATTGGGTTTATAATTTATAATTTAATATTGGTTTGTGATGATAAAAAAAATACTTTTTACATTTTTAGGTGTAACTTTATAGAAACATTTCTGATATCTTTACTATTATCTTTACCTTAAAAGGATCACTCATTTAAATTTAATGGATTCCCAGAAAATGTTATTGCATTTACAGTGTCCCGTTACAAATGGTATCACCTGAACTTTGATTGTTAGGATATGTTTTCACATAAAATCGTATATTTAATGGATATGAGCCTTTGCAGAGTTATACTTGTTAAAATAGTATTTCTGTAATACCGCATTAATACACTGATACAGTACTTCAATTTGCAACATGTCAGTTAATGAACAAACAAATATGTAAAATTACACAACCTATTACTTTACAGTTTATTTTTACTCATTGTATTCATTTTTAATATGTATTTACAAATTAGAATAAAAGGTATTTAATAATATTATATATTAAATAAGTGCTGTATAGTTGTGAATTTTTTCATGTTATTTTACTGGAGACGTGTTAACTCAGTCAACTTATGTAATTTTATTGATTTAATGAACAGGAAAACTTTGTGATCAGAAAATTCTGTTACATGTTTAAATTGTTAGGTTGATTGATTGATTGATTGATTGAACTACACCTTGTTCTCCTGCAATTATATGTAATTGCCAACAGAGTCATGTCATTATCACTTTAACTTGTGTGTCCCATTTATATGACCCAGTCCAGAATGTACACGCAGGCATTGTTAATGTTACGGAGTCCTTGTGTAGCTGTGAACAGAGGGGTCTCCACAGGACCCTGAAACCTCAACCGTCATTAATATTTTTGTTTTTTTTACCAGGAATGTGATGTTACTGATGTTACTACTGTCTTCTGTGGCCCGTTTGTCTCCTTTATATTACATTATAATGTCTGCAGGCAGCAAAGAAAAGTAAATGCTGTTTTATGTGCACTTTAAATGCATTTGAAAGTCTTATTTAGTGACTTGATTAGTTCCCCTTCAGTGGTTATGAATCTGGTTGACGCAACACATGGTTAAACTGAACTTACTGTGAGACATTTTGAGAAACATCTGAAAAAATAGTCCATCCACTCATCCTCACATTTCCCAGCTGGGCTCGTTGGACTCGTGTATGCGTGACTTAAAATAACAACATCAAGAAATCATTGTAAACAGTGTAGTCTTACTGTGGAGCAGCGTACACCGAAGCTGCATCATTATGTAACCTCACTGTGAACAAGGTACGATTATTTTAGTGATTTGCAGCGGGAGAAGCCGCAAAACAGCCATTTCTAGAGCTTTTCGCTGGAGAAGTGGAGTCGTGTGAGGAAGTGGAGACAGATAACCATGTCCAGTCCAGTCAGACCCGCGCAGACGCCGGGATCCGTCTTGTGGAGATGCGGAGAATAATTTGCCACAGATTCCTCTGCATAGTGGAGGCACTATCACAGACCACGTGAGAGGAATATTCAATGACGGTCCCCGACAGACCTGTTCATCTCTGTTGGCACTCCTCTGCTGGGTGACATGGACTCCTGGACGCTATACACTCTTAGCTTTACAGAAACGAGCGAAGAGGGAGGGCGACACTCTGAATGTAACCTCTGATCGCTTTTCTCTTCTTTTTCAGGTCTTTTTGTTTCTTTTTCTCCCCCTTTCTTCTTCTGTTCTCCTCTCCGGCAGTTAGAGGGAGTATGGCTTGGCCGTGCATCAGCAGAGTCTGCTGCCTGGCTCGTTTCTGGAATCAGTTCGACAAATCGGACCTCTCCGTCCCGCTCACCATCCAGAACTACTCGGACATCGCCGAGCAGGAGGTGCGGTCCGTCACCAAGCAGGTATCCGCTTCGGAGCGCGCACCCGGCAATAACTACACACCAACTCCGGACACGCGTGCCAAAGGCTCCCCTCATGCGCCCGCGGATGGCACTGGGACCCGAGGATCTTTCAGGTCACGGAAGGAGCCCAGCTACAAGCCCCGGGAAGACTACCACCCCCCGGGAGTACCTTTCCCCAGTGTTACGCAGTACAAGCAGGATTTCAAACCATGGCCCATCCCCAGGAAGGAGAATTTCCCGTGGATTAATAACGAGGGGAGCAGGGCAGACTGTGTGTCGGACAGCCCGGTGAATACTTACCACGTCCAGGGTCAGCCTGGGGAGAGCCGGGGGGGGAGAGAGGAGAGGGGCAAGGGGCAGAGATGGGGGGAGCAGCAGGTGATGGAGGAGAGCAAAACCAGCTCCTACAGGTCTGAGATCCTCTCTCACCTTGTTTCAGCACCGAGCGCTGTTCACAGCGGGTGTGCCGCTGATGTGCTCATGCCTGCTTTGATGCTTAATTAGACTTTCATTTATTACTAGTTCAGCGACTTCCAAGGTCGAGCCAACAAGCATGCGTGGAGACGAGGGCTCATTAAATAATTCTCTCACACGTTTCATATTCGTATATGGTACAGCGCAAGTATGGTGTAGGATTTGTGCTGGCACTGTATCCCCTGTATGTGGAGGTCTGTGTTTTTCAACCTTTTCTAGCTTTTAATCCTTTAAAATGGGATTTTTTTAAAAGGTTGATTCATGTGAATACATTTCAAAGATGAAAAAACAAACATATAACCCTCTCAGATACTTTTCATGACCTCTGGTTCATTTAGACCCCGAGGCAGAGTTAGTATATACACTTTGGGAATTGAATTCATACATTACAGCCAAGATACTGATAAACGCCCACATGTTTCATCAGGACTCTTATTCTGCAGTTTGCTGCATCAGCTGTTAAAGAATGGAATATATTAAGCCCAATCCAAGATTACTAGCACATTATTTTGTCTAATTTCTCCATTAATTTAGTCTTTGTTATTACTTCATGCTCCAGACGTCCCCCTCCAGCTTTGTCACTCTACTCATACACTTCTCTACTTCCAGGCAAGAGTACAGGCCTTGGGCGGGGGTGCGACCGGCCAAAAGTGCGAGGAAACCCCCTCCAGCTCAGTACTCCAGCCCTGGGACAGAAGCCACTCACGTCCCACGTGAAACCAGCTACCAGGCTGCCTACAGGGGGGAGGTCGGCAGGTCCATGGGTCTGCATCAAGGCGAACACGTGATCCCATCCGCTGCCTCCAACATCCAACCTGCCGCTGTCCCCCAGCCTGCCCCCACTGCCCTTCAAGCCTACAGATTGCAGAGTCCATCCAGCCTCCAGCAGAGCATCCTGCCTGAGAGGACTGAGCTCAGTGGAACAATCAAAGGAGAGGTAGGCGCATAATCATTGAGTTCAAGGAGCCATGTTTTATGTCAAAAGTTTAAAGAAAACCACACACAGTTCATTGTTAGAGCTGCACATTTAAATCCAGGCTCGCTCATCCTGAAAGTCATCGTCACTCATCTCCCCGGCGGCCTGTTGCTGTTGGGGCATCACAGAAAAGTGATACAGCATTCTGTCCCCGAGAGGCTCAAAGTGACCCAGCTGTTTAAAACAGGCCATGTACCGTGTTAGGTAACAGTGCTGGTGCTACACTCTCTACTGTGGCCTGAATAAAACTGGGTTGATGAGGACAACAAATTACATGTGTAATTCTCTGAACTGCAGTCCCTTTCAGTCAGCTAACTGACTGACATCTGTCTAGAAATCAGTGCTGATCATAGCTGCAATGAAACGTGTGATCCTTTAAACTTTGCTGTTATTAAAAGAGGTTATTTCTCTTTATGACAGAGCACAATGCTTCTTTAGATAGCCAATGGAACTCCAGTGATATCATATACATTATATACATACAAGTATAATCATATGCTCTCAGATTGCAGATTTATAGGGCTTTGCCTGAGCAACAACCATACAGAATAACTCACAGCTAAATAATAAGGTGACGCTCAGCAAGGGTCATATAAGGCCTGCACAATGCAGATTTTTAGGGAGAAAATTTGATATTTATTTGTTAACTGATATTCTATATTGCTATGTATAGAAAGTATGTTTGAGTTACACTGAATATTAAACTTTTTGGGTCCTACATAGTATATGAACAAAAGTACTGGGGTTACTACACATTACACATACAGGAGCTGTTTATCCTTGAAAACCAATGCCATGAATTTCCCAGTGTGCAGTTTTTTGTGCCGATGTTAATGCAAGAGAAGGTTTGGAGCTCTGCAGCTGTTGAGTCAGCAGCCCTATATGCACTTCACACGATCTGAAACTTTGTCTCTGGGTTGCTGTGGTTGCTAAATGCGTCCACTTTGCAACAATATCACTCACACCTGATGGTGGAATATCTAGTAGAGAAGTACTGATTTGTTGCAGCGGTGGTGTCCTATTACTCCACCATGCTCAAATTCAGTGTGCTCTTTAGAACGAGACATTCTTTCACAAATGTCTGCGAAGCCCAAATGTGTGCCGAGGTGCACAGGTGCGGCCATGTGACTGAAAACACCTGAATTCTAAGGTTAAGTGGTGTGGTTCAAGACTTATTCTGTGATGCTACTCTACTGCATGTGTTACAGGCAGCACTATGCTTCCATTATATAATTTCTAAAGTATCATACTTCTTCATTAGTTTCTCTAAAAATAATAATAACTATAATAAAACTGGTGCATATCTGACATAAAAGTATTGAGTCTGCTGCCTGCATGCTCTCTCAGGTCAGCTGTCAGCTGATACTTAGGGAGACAGTTTTTGGGGAATCTCCAGAAGTTTAGTGCCATCCTTCTCCTCCGCCCTCAACACTCAGTGCCATCTGCCACTGGAGATCTGGGCAGCTGTGGGCTGGACCCGGTCAGATCTTCATCTGTGTTACAACAGCTGCCTCAGTAACATCTTAAGCCGACTGGTTTTCAGGGAGATCTGGCACACGTGCTCTTCTGGTGAAACGAACACGTGGCTCTCACTTTAGCAACTGTTTGAGAGACTCGGTTAAAAAAAAAACAATTCGTGCACGAGAGCAGAACGATACGACTTTGCAGTTATTTGCATCACTTTCTGAACAAAGCTTGGTCCGTTAAGCTGCAGCATACCTCGGTTTTTCTGTGTGATGCTAATGGAGGTTGAAGGGATGGGATGTTAATGGCAGGACACAGACTCTAATAATAACACTGGCCCAGTTGGAGTGAGAGTTCAGGGCACATTAAGAAGAGATGTGCTGCTGCCAGTGGGCCAAGCTTCAGAAAGAGTGCAGTAGATATTTCCTGTACATTCTTATTGTGCCGTCTTTCAGCATTGCGTGCACTTTGTCTGGCATACCACAATCTGTCAGTGTGACACAAGCCCAGCCTGGCGGCATTAGATAATCCACCCCGGTTACCGATGGCCCACTCATTTGCCGACTCATTTATTGACTCACTAACCCCCTGCAGAGGTGTCTGACCAAGCATTACACATCCCACTCCAGTACACATTATACTGGGTCATAGTATTCAGCTGGTATTTGTCCATATCTGGTGTTTTATGATCAGCATTACCATCAACCATCTTCATTCAGCAGGCAGACCGGCAGCTCATTAAAAGATGTAACGGTTAACTTGATGGTAATCTGCTCCAGATGAAAAAGAAGGTGGGCAGCCATAAAACTCTCATTACTGTTTAAATCAGTTTGTGCCCCCTCCCCTCACCTATAACAGATCAAATCCGTCTCAAAAGACAAAAGCTGGCTCAGATTTCATGACGTAAAAAAACAAAACAGCAATGCTTTTTTCTTTTTTTAAAGACGAGAGCGCTGCGTTCATCTTGAACTCACTGAACTTGCAAACCCAATTTAACGCATCCCAGGGAGAGGAGGCATCGAGGTGAGAGAATGAACCTCAGTTAAACCTGACACCCCGTTAGTTTGCAGCAGCGTGTGTATGTGTGTGTGTTTGTGGAAGCAATCATTTCTGGCAACTGCATCGCAAGGCAAACAGATTTGTGAGGATGGCTTGTATAATCTGCAGTGTGTGTCAGGGATAAGCAAGACAAAACCACCAGTGCGCAGAGTGAAAACCACGGCAGGAGCGCTTGTGACAAATCCTTGGTTATTTCACATTTAGCTCACAGGCAGCGAGCAGCCTCCTGAGATTTCTCTCCCTTGCAGGTCATTGGCAACCCTTCATAACTTGCGACTACAGTGTATTAAGAGTGCTGCATTCTTCTATGGCAGGAAGAGAGATGCACAGTCGAGTCAATGGCTTTAAAATGCATGAAGCAGATTAAATGGCCTGCTGGGAAAATCTAACCTAAAATTTCCGGTTACCTCCATTTACTCATTTGGCAGGGGGGGATGGCAAATCCCTGCATTGGAATCTGATTTTTCCACCTCCTCCTCTAACAGGCTCGGAAAGCGATCTGAAGTTGTTGTGTGTCGGAGTTGTAGATGGTTTTCTGATCAGTCAGCGTTACCCCATTCATTTCCCTGCTTCGCCCCCATAAGTCAGCCCTAAGTTTCTACAGTTCTACATGTGTTATTTTTCTCTTTCCTCCTTCATTTTTGCCAAGCTGTCTCCCCCTATTCTTTCACTTGGACGTCATCCTCGTTCCCACGCTGCCCAGGACTACAGAGGAAGTGTCCGGTGCCAACTTGGCACTGTTTATATAGAGAAGTGAGGATTGTACTAAAACCAGGGGAAAGGCAAAAAAAGGAATGAGGGGGAAGAGACTCAGACCGGGGGGTGGGGGATGATGCACTGTGTGATAGATAAGTGATGGAGATGTGGGGGGAGGGGAGCAGTGTGTGATGGATTATCTGTTAAAGTGCAATGTTGCATTGGGTTGCAGTCTCGTTTGGCACCAATCTAATTTAGGAGAGAGGCAGACCTGGCTGCTGCACAGAGCAGAGAAGACAGTGTGTGTGTGTGTGTGTGTGTGTGTGTGTGTGTGTGTGTGTGTGTGTGTGTGTGTGTGTGTGTGTGTGTGTGTGTGTGTG